TCCAGACGGCCTAAGAGGCCTGCAAAGCGCCCCAAGAGGCCTCCAGGAGCTTTCCCACGAGAGCCCCAAGAAGCAAAATTCATTGATTTTCCAGAAACGTTTTTGATAGATTTTGGCGTTCTTGCATGTTCCGCTTCCCGACGCGCCAAGAAGCCCCCAAGAGGGTCCCCTAACGGCCGAAGAGGGCCCCAAGATGGCCCAAGACGCCTCCAAGACGGCCCAAGAGGCCCCCAAGACGGCTCCAGGAGAGTGCCCAGACGGGGGACCCGAACGGACATTTCGAGCTCTCAGCCCCAAGAGGCCCCCAAGATACCCCGATGACGCCCCAAGAGGCCCCGAGAGGCTCCCAAGGGGCCCCCAAACTGCCCCAAGACAGCCCAGGACAGCCCCAAATTGCCCAGGAGGCCTCCAAGAGTGCGTCGATACGGCGCAAGAGGAGCCCTGGACGACACAAGACGGCCTCAAAAGAGCCCCAGGCTGTCCCAAGAAAGTCTCTGGCCTCCTCCTCTTCCTCGTCGTCCTCGTCGTCGTCGTCGTCGTCCTCCTCCTCCTCCTCCTCCTCCTCCTCCTCCTCCTCCTCCTCCTCCTCCTCCTCCTCCCTCCTCCTCCTCCTCCTCCTCCTCCTCCTCCTCCTCCTCCTCCTCCTCCTCCTCCTCCTCCTCCTCCTCTCCTTTTTCCTCCTCCTCGTCCTCCTCCACCTCGTCCTCGTCCTCCTCCTTCTCCTCCTCCTCCCACACCCCCTGCTCCCCCCCCCCTCCTGCTCTCCTCTGCCTCCTTCTCCTCCTCTTGCTTCTCCTCCACATCCTTCTCCCCCCTCCTCCTCCCTCATCCACCTCCTCCACCCTTCCTCCACCTCGCACTCATCCTCATCCCGCGGACCCCCCCTCATTTTCATCTTCGTCGTTCTCAGGGTCGGCGGCACCGGCCAGGCCTATTTTTTAAAGTATTTTTGAATATTGCCCCTGTAGAGGGACAGGCCCGACTTAAGGGTAGGGTAAGGAATCAGCTCACGCAGCTGATTTTCCCAGCGCCTCCCGGCGCCTGGAGGCTCCCATGTATCGAGGAATAGGCCCGGCGGCGGGGCCGAAACCAGCTGCATGCAGCAGATTTCGTAACCCCCCCTTTCCCTGTCCCCCCCTTTCGTCTGGCCCGACTTTGGGGGAACAAGCAGCTGCATGATAAACATAAACTTTTGGAGCTCCGCGCGGGCTTCTCGGATCGGCGCTGGGCCCTCCTGGCGGCGCCTCCAGCGCCGCCGCGCTCCGCGCGCCAAGGAGGGTGGTTTAGCGCCGATCCACGACATCCGCGCAGAGCTCAAACGGTTTCTGCTCATGCCTTTGTCTGCGTCTTCGAACCTCCTGGCCCTATGCGCCGCGCGAGCCCCAAGCGCTGCGCTCCGGTCCGCCCCCTCCTCGCCCCGCTCCTCGCGCTTGCCCTCCTCGCCCCGCTCCCAGCCGCCGCCCCTCGGGGGCTCGCCGCCGCCCTCGCCCGCCCTCCCGAGGGCTCCGCCCGCGCCCCGCCTGCCGTCCGCGGCGCCGCCGGCGAAGCCGTCGCCGCGCCAGGGGCCCTCGTCGGGGCTTCTCTCGGCCTTGCCGCCGCGCTTGCCTCCGCCGCCGCCGCCGCTGCCGTCCCAGCGGCGCGGGTCGTGCCTGCCGCCGTGGTGGCCGTCCTCCGCGCCCGCGCCGTCTCCCCGGACGCTGCGCCGCCGGGCCCAGTGGCCAGACATCAGCGGCCGGGCCCGCCCGGGCTCTCGGCGCCGAGCCCGACTGGCGGCCTGCCGGCCCGCCGCGAGGGCGCGCTCCCGGGAGGAGGGGCGTCCCTGGGGCCATCCAGCCGGGGGGGCCGGCCTGTGCCCAGACAACTCGGACCACAAATGGCTGTGGACACATCGTCCATGAACCGTGCACCATCGAGGCAGACGCGTCAAAGCAAGCTGCTGTGAGTCCAGATCGCGGCTGGCCGAAGTCTGCCGGCCAGCTCCATTGGCACCATGAGGCGGATGCTTGCGGTGCTGGGGGCCGTTGGCCGCATGACGACCACGTGGAGCGGGCGTAAAGAGGATGGGGATGAGGAAGGCTCCCCCTCCTCTTCTTCGACCTCATCCACTTCCGCAGTATTACCATCGTCCGTGATATGGCCCTCGCGCGGCCATCTCTGGGTTGTCTTTGGGGTCTGCGAGCCCGTGCTGGGGTCCTGTTGGGGCCCTCTTGTAGCGTTCTCGGGCCACCATCCAACCTGTTCAGACACCCTTGGACCTCCTTATGCTCTCATTGGGGCGTCGTGAAATGGAGAAGAAGCATGGATGAGGCAATTGCAGTTGAAAGGAAGGGGCGAACGAACGAGCAACGTCATGTAAGTCAATGGACCCTTTCCCATACGGCACTGCGCTCACAAGGACAATCTACGCTCAAACTACCCGTCGACTACCGCGCGGAAGATGAGGAATAAGGAGGATATGACCCACATTCTGAAGCAAATCAGCAAAGAGATGTACACACGGAAGGAAGGGCAAAGAGAAGAGGGATGAGAAAGGATATTCGCCATCCCTGCCCCTGTTGCTGTTGCTCATCCATCTCTTTTCCTTCAAAGTAACTCGTCCTCGTCTCACCACCAGACGTGTCAGTAGAGCGGGCCGGGCGTTCCGCCTGAGACTTTATTACAGCCTATGACCATGAAGCCTGAAGTGTTAAGCACATGAAAGGATGGAGGGCTGGTCGTTTTCAGACTGGTGCTCTGGCCGTAGCGCGTCTTAGCGCCGCGCAGAAGTGTCTTAATATTCTGCACAGGTTACAAGGATGGAGGGCTGTACCTCTTCAACCTGGGGCTCGAGCCTTCGCGGCGTGCGCGATCGTCTGAACACGTTGGAACACTGCCTCGGACGGAGAGCGGCTCCTTTTCAACATGGGGTTTCGCCTGCGCCTCCCTTGAAACAGATGCAACACTTGAAGACGGTGCTGAACATTCACGGGTGGAGGCCGGTCGGTCTTCAAAAGGGGGCTCTCGACTGAAATTGTTTCAAACACTTTGAAGGGGGCGGTTCTGGTGGTACGTGGGAGGCCTTGTGGGGACTGATGATGAAGGAACTTGGGACGGGAGGGAGTGTCGCATCATCGTTAATCCATCTTGGGTCTACTCTGGTCCTGCTCATTCTACTCCTCCTCCTAGCGGCTCCAGACTCGCGGGCTTCACAGAAACTTGAGAGCGGCGCACTTCAGAGCCACCCAGCTGGCCCGAGCCATGGAAACCATGAAATTTACAAGAACCGCATGAGACTACATACCCACGCAGGCCGTGCGGTCCTGTCCCAGGAGCATGGCGCCAAGCTGCTTCAGCTCAGACGCGGCTTCAAACGCGAGCGGGGAACGAGGTCGTGCTCTTCGCCAGAGGGGGCGTCGAAGACGAGCATTGGCCTCAAGGGCACCCAGCTCAACGACCGCAGGGCGAAGGAGGTGGCGTAAGATATGATCCAGGAGGCCAGACTGCAAAGAACCAAGGCGAAGGCAGTCGCGAAGATGCTTCCGCTGCGCACCAGCTCGCCACCGAGGTGCACGAAGGTGGGCGGGAAGTGGGAAGAGCGTGGGGTGCCCCTCCACGAGTGCTTCAAGGGTCAGGCTTCATCCAGGACCCGCAGGGCCACTGGATGGACATCTCCTCGGTCCCATCCTGGTGGATGTCAGGCTGGGCTGCGACGCCGGCGGTCTGGCTTTCTGCGACAGGGGGTACCTCCAGCAGGAGCCGCAGCTGCTCGACATAGGCGGAAAGGGCTCGGAGATGGTGCAGTGCATGTGGTGCAAGCCATGTGGTGAAAGCCATGTGGTGCAACAGTTGTGGTGCTATCGATGCGGTGTAAGCTACGCGGTGCAGTCTCATAGGTCAAACCTGTGTGGTGGAAACCGTGTGTGGTGCGGGCCATGTGGTGCATGGTGCAAACGGCGAGGTGTCAGCGGCGACGGGCTGGCCGGTGCAAGAGCACGCTGTTCTCGAACATGGCGGCGCTGAGGCGCTGGTTGGCCGCTCAATCGCCGATGGCCGCTGGCACCAACCTAAAGCACCTTGGGGTTGTCGCAGCCGCCGCGCGCGCGCTGCAGCGCGGTCGTGCCCCCACGCGCCCACTCGGCGCCCGGCCGGCTCGTCCGCGTCGGCCGCCCGCAGGGGAATCTCTGGCAACGCTGCTCGACGGCTGCTGCGGCTGGCACGGCCGCCGGCGCGAGAGCTCGCCGGCCTCCGTGCTGCCGCTCGGCACGCAGTCTGCAGATCGAGGGGGCCTCCGCGCCGCCGCAGAAGCGGTGTCCGGGGTGCTCAGCCCGAGAAGGCGCCCTGGCCCGGCGGCGGCGGTGGCCGCCCGTGCGCGTCCCAAGGCGCAGCTGCGTGGGCGATTCCCCCGCCAGCTCTGGCAGGCAGCGGAGGGCGTCATCGCTGCAGGTCGCGGCCGCGCCCAGGGCCCGCTCTCGGCGGCGACACGGAGCATGTCGGACCTGCGGCTCGGCGCCGTGACGCGGAGTGCTGGCACGGCGCCCCATCAACTCTGGCTGGGTGGCGGCCTGCCCACCCGTGGCAAGACACGCGAGGCGCCGCCACGTTCCGGGAGGGCTGGGGTGCCTTACTCTGGCGTCCGTTCGGCTGGCGGCGCTGGGGGCCGCGACTAGCGCGACGCTGCCGGCCCCCGCGCTGCCGGCGCCAGCGATGCCAGGGGCGCAGGAGATGTGCTGCTGGGATTGGACGGGCGGGGCTTGCCTGCACCCGGCTGACCCTCTCCTGGCTCGCGCTGGCTGGGGCCTGCTACGGGAGCGGCCAGTGCCCCTGGCGGAGCCTGCAGCACGGCGGGCCGGTCGAAGGCGCGCAAACGGCGCAACGAGCAGTGTTGGCCGCGGCTCTGAGCGCGGTCAGCCTGGCAGCATCCCACGTGGAGGTCATAGCGGACTCGCAATGCAGACTGGCATGGTGGCCCTCGAGGACGGCGCCTCGCCGCGCGACTGGTCGCACGCAAATCTGTGGGTTTTCCTGGAACTCTTCTGCCAGACGGGCTTCGCCGTCGCGCGGTGGATCAAAGGGCCATCTCGGCGCGGCAGCAGCGGCCGAACACGGGGCTTCCGAAGAGCATCGGCTCGGGAACGCACAGGCGGGCCGTCTGGCAAGGGAAGCGGCCGAGGCATTGAGGCCCGATTGCCCTCGACGGACCTGCGGCAGGCGTGCGCGGCCCAGTTCCACTGAAGGGGCCCTGGGACACACAAGAAAGAGACACAAATAACAGGATTCCCCGTAGGTTCTAACATTTTCTGGGTTTTTGTCCTTCCCCCCCAAGTCCCATATTTTCCCCTATTCCCTTGGGAATCGACGATCCATTGTGTCTGTGTTTTTGCCCCCTCCTGGTCCACGCGATGCAAATACGGCACACGCTGCTGGCCGAGGTGAAACTGGCGGCCCTGCAGGCCAACCGCAGCAGCGACAGCCCCGGCGGCCCACGGGCGCGGCGCCGAGCGGCGTTCCGCCCGCGCAGGCGGCCAGGGAGGCGGCGACCCTGGGTGGCGGACGACGCGGTCGTGGCCGCCGCCCTCTTGGCCCCCGGCGCTGCGGCCAGGAGGGGGAGGAGGAGGAGGAGGAGGAGGAGGAGGAGGAGGAGGAGGAGGAGGAGGAGGAGGAGGAGGAGGAGGGGGAGGGGCCCCCGGCGCTGCGGCCAGGGGGGCAGCAGCGGTGCAGGCGCTCTCGCTGGCGAGGCGCAGCGCCCGCGCGTGGCCTGCAGCGGGCGGGCCCCCGTCCTCCCGCCGCGGGCACCCCGCGCTGTTGCTGCTCCCGGCGGCGCGCGCTGGGGGCGCCGACGCCGCGTGGCGCGCCGCTCTGCGGGAACGCCTGGTGAGCGGCCCGGGGTGCCCGATCCATTTGTGAATTCGCGGCGCCGCATCGCGGGCGCGCCGCCGCCCCTGGCCGCCCGCCGCCCCTCCTCCCCCTCCCCGCCTCCGCGGCCTCGAGGAGGAGGAGGAGGAGGAGGAGGACGAGGAGGAGGAGAACGAGAAGGAGGAGGAGGAGGAGGAGGAGGAGGAGGACGAGGAGGAGGAGGAGGAGGAGGAGGGAGATCCCCCCTCCGTGCCACAGGGCTCCCGTCGCGCGCTCTTCTGAAGGGCGGTGCAGTCTTACGAGTGGAACTGCAGGAACTGAGCAGTCTTCGGTGAGTCATGCTGCTCAGATGGTGTGCTGCGCACCGACGGGCCCCTAGAGGTGGCGATGTGTGTGGGGGAAGATGGGTTCCTCCTCCTTCTCCTCCTCCTCCTCCTCCTCCTCCTCCATTTCCTCCTCCTCCTCCTCCTTCTCTTGTGTGTGTGTGTGTGGTGCAGGCGATGTGGTGCAGACGGTGAGGTGCCAACGGCGACGGGCCAACCACGGGAGGGCACCAGGCGGCAGCCTGGAGTGGCGCGGCGACGAGGCGGCGGGCGGGCGGGCACGTGCCGAAGGCTCGGGAGCGCAGGCCCGGAGGGTTCCAGAGGGGGTTTTTGGGGAGGGGGGTTTCCAGGAGGGCCCCCCCAGGGGCTTCGCACCCCCTGTTTGGACGAGGTTCCGAGGCCACTGGGGGGGGGCTCTCTGGAAAACCCCTCCCCCAGAGACCCCTCTCTTGGAACCCTCTGGCATGCCGGCGCACGAGGCGGCGACGGGCGCACTGGGCGGAAGCCCGGGAGCGCATGCAGGGAGCGAGCTCATGGCAGTAGTGGGATTAGCCTTGGTGCTGCTGCTGCTGCTGCTGCTGCGGCTTTGGGAGCCCAGGGCAGGACGGCAGCGCATCGGGGAGGGAGAGAGAGAGAGAGAGGGAGGCGGGGGAAGTGGTGGACGGCGAAGAAGAATAAGAGGAATAAGATGATGAAGAATAAGAGGAATAAGAAGAGGAAGAAGAGGGATAATAAAAACAATACTAATACGAACGAAGAAGAAGGGGACACGGAATAAGGGAAGGGGAAGGAACGAGGACAAGGGGAGGCGAGAAGAAGGCCATGAGAGCCTCCTCCTTCTCCTCCTCCGCTTCCCTCCTTTTCTCCTTTTGCATCCCCCAGAGGACTCCAAAAGTTCCAACGAGGACTACACGCGTCCAGACGTCTCGATCTTCGATCCTCCCATGATGCCCTGTGTCTGGAAGGCCTCCTCGATCCTTCTCCTCCTGCTCCTCCTCCTCCTCTTCCCCGTTTTCCTCCTCCCAACTGGGACGCCATGCGAGTTCCCCAGCGAGGGTCACAAGTGACGCTCCATTTGGAGGCACGGGCGCGGGAACGCCACGCGAATTTTCCCACTTCGGCCTCTCGTGCGGGGGCACGATCCTCAGCTCTCCGCTCGATTCTGATCCCCAGACCCATCCTGGGGTCCATCCTGCCATTGTTTTGCCCGCAATCGATGTCTGACGGCCCCAGGGCCAGAGCTGGGCGTCCAGACGCCGAAACGTGAGAAAAACAACCCAACTCTCGAAACTCCATCCCAACATGATGTCCTGGATCTGGAGAGCCTCCTCGATCATCTCCCTCTGCAGCTGCACGTCCCCAAGGTCGCCGTGGGCATTGCCGAGGCTCACAAGGGCCTCGCTGGCCCCGCCTTCTCATTTTCACCGTTCATCGTCGTCGTCGTCCTCGTCCGCCTCCTCCTCCTCCTCCTCCTCCTCCTCCTTGTCGCGGTTTTGGTCGTCTTGGTAGTCTTGGTCGTCGTCGTCGTCGCTGCTGTCGTTGTCGTCCTCGCCGTCCTCGTCATCGTCCTCGTCGTCGTCCTCGTCGTCGTCGTCATCGTCGTCATCGTCGTAATCTTCGTCCTCGTCATCGTCGTTATCGTCCTCCTCGTCGTCTTCGTCGGCACAGGCGGCCAATCATGCAGCTGTTTTTAACTGCATTGGCTTCGTTTCCCTCAGCGAACAGCTCGCGAAGTGCGGGCAAGATGTATGTCCACATCCACGGCGTTTTGCATGTTGTCGGGAAGGAGTGCCTGACACCTGAGACGCAATGGCTATTGAGCCGCGATAGGGGAACGGAAAAATACATCAATATAAAAACTCGCAGGTCCGCGCGGATTTCTCGGATCGGCGCTGGACTCCCCTCCCTGGCGCGCGGAGCGCGCCAGGGGCGGCGCCAGAGGCGCCGCCAGGGGGGCCCAGCACGGATCCAAGAAATCCGCGCGGACCTCCGCGTTTTTATGTTTATGTCATTGTTCGTTCCCCTACGCAAAAACTATGGATGGACACATTTTCACAACATGCACGAATGAGGGGGGGAGGACGGGAGGCCGAGCGGGCGCCGAAGCGGCGCAGGGGCAGCGGGAAGTCAGGAAGGACAGGGGGCGCGCGACGGGATGCACGCCCCACCCCCGGCAGGGGCGTGGTGAAGCTTCGGGCTGCGCACGGACGCCCCCCCCCGGGAAGTTCCGGCTGGCCTCAGCAGGCCCCCCGAAAAGTCCGGGGCAGTCTCGACAGCCCGCGGCGCCGCCTCCAGCGGCGCCCCGCGCCACAAAGTTGGGGTGTTGATGAGACCCCGTCCTCGTCCTCGTCCTCGTCCTCGTCCTCCCCCTCGCCAGACAGGACTACCTGAAGGGGGGCCATCTGTGCGCACCCCGACACCTCACCTCAACAGCGGCGGAGATGCCATGGGTGGCCCGCCAAGGCCACCCCCGAGAGGCGTGCAGGAGAGACCACGCGCCGCGTCGGCAGAACAAGATTCTTAACTGCAGGGTTCTGGCCTGTTTTCCACCACCACCACCATAAGATGGATGGGGACGGGGTCCTCCTCCTCCCCTCCTCCTCCTCCTCCTCCTCCTCCTCCTCCTCCTCCTCCACCTCCTTCCCCCCTCTATGATGGTGGTGATGGTGGAAAACAGGCCCATCATGTAGGGTTCTGGCCTGGATGCCGAGAGGGCCGGACGAGGTGCTGGCGAGTTCCCGCGCCACCAGCCTGCTGCAGCCCAGCACTGGGACGAGGCAGCGTTCTGCAAGAGTTACGCGGCGCGCAGCGCGGGACAGCGCACCACAAGACAGGAGCAGGACGGCACAGGACGGGCCAACGCGCAACCAAAACAAGACGGCACGGGCAGCACGGGACGAGACGGGACCGGACAGCACGGGACGAGCAGGCAGCAGTTCGGGTGTTGCTAGAAGTGCCCCTGGCCCAAGGTGCCCCCAGCTTGTCGCTCCATTTTGGAGTCCCTGGGGTCCTATGGGCCTCGTGAGGGTGCCCTGGAGGCCGCCTGAGCCACCCCGAGAATCCTCGGGGTACCTTGGGCCAGGGGTACTTCTAGCAGCACCCGAGCAGCGGGGGCAGCACGGGACGAGACACGACAGCACCGGACAGGCCAGAGGGGGAACCGCAGACAGGACGGGACCGGCGCCGCCGCCGCTCCGGGTCGGCGCGCGGGCCCTGCAGCGGCCTGGCCGCGGCCCCGTCGGAGCAGGCCGCAGGTCGCGTCGGCCTCGTCGGCCGCCCGGGCGCCGCCCGGCGGCGTTCCTGCCGACGCCAGGGCTCAAGCACGGGGCAGGGCCGCCCGGGCACGGTCTGTGGCTGACTCGCCAGGACAATTGTTGATGTTGGTGGTGCTGTTGCTGTTGCTGTTGCTGTTGCTGCTGTTGTTGCTGTTGCTGTTCCTGTTGTTGTTGCTGTTGTTGTTGTTGTTGCTGTTGCTGTTGCTGTTGCTGTTGTTGTTGTTGTTGTTGTTGTTGTTGTTGTTGTTGTTGTTGAACATTATTCCTTCTAAAGAATTATTATTGTTGGGACCCCTGGTGCGCGACCTCTGCGCCGCGCCTAGGCCGCAGCTACATTTTCATCATTTTTTAGCGAAAGCTTCAGAAAAGTGGATGAGCTCCGGATCCGGTTTTTTGTTGACGCTCGTTTTCCCTTGCAAAAAACAATAGAAAATGAAAATTCTTGTTCTTACTTGATCAAATTGCAAGAATCCCTTGCAAAAAATAAGGTAAAGTGGACATTCGTGCGCGCAAGACGAAATCCTTCCAAAACCTTAGGTTTCGTAGCGATTTTAACATAAAAACATCAAAAACCCAATGGTTTTTTAAGAAAAAATTGTCAAAATGTCCTTCCGCGCGCGCTGTCCGAATCCCACAAAACCAATGGTTTTTCAACATTTATGTTACATGAGCTCGCGCGAGCTACTTTTTCTTGTTCTAACATAATCAAATTTCAATAATCCCTTGCAAAAAATAAGGTAAAGTGGACATTCGCGCGCGCAAGACGAAATCCTTCCAGAACCTTAGGTTTCGTAACGATTTCAACATAAAAACATCAAAAACCCAATGGTTTTTCAAAAAAAAATGTCCAAATTTCATCCCGCGCGCGCTGTCCGACTCCCACAAAACCAATGGTTTTTCAACATTTATGTTACATGAGCTCGCGCGAGCTACTTTTTCTTGTTCTAACATAATCAAATTTCAATACTCCCTTGCAAAAAAAAGTAAAGTGGACATTCGCGCGCGCAAGACCAACAAAAAACACGACGATCTCAGGAACTTGCCCCAAAAATGTGACCAACTCCGCTCTCTCTGTCTCTCTCTCTGTCTGCTCTCTGTCTCTCTCTCTGTCTGTCTGTGTCATGTATTGTATGTCACAATTGCAGGATGCTGGGCACACGCGCGCCCCGAATAAGTGACCAAGTTCTGTGGGTGTGTACCCCACGCCAGTGTAGTAGCCACGGTCGTCCGCACGCCACGAAGTGAAGTGTCCCAACGTCATAGGGCGGGAAGCTGGGTTTGGGTGGTCGCGAAGAGTCGTTTGGATATTTGGTAGAGCTTGAACTGCCCCCCCACGAAGTGGGGGTATTGTCTCGCGTCGCATGAAAACCCTGGCACTGGTGAGAACACTGAGCGTTCGGGTAAAATGATTGTTGTTGTTGTTGTTGTGGTTGTGGTTGTTTTGTTGTTGTTGCTGCTGTTGCTGCCGCTGTTGTTGTTGTTGCTGCTGTTGGATACTCATATCAAAGAAACAAATATTGCTGATCTCTGGAATCGGTTCCGCGCGCTGTCGCCTCGACGCCAGCTACATTTTCTCCGAAAAAGAAGCTCCCGCTCGAGCGTTGGCTTGAGCCTAAATGTGGGCCCTTGGAGGCCCAGCTACGACGACAACGGCTCCCGCTCGATACTTCCTCACAATTTACCCCGAGACGCTCCGGCCAGAGAGGCTCCGAACTCAGGAACGGCGCTCTCGCTCGAGATTTCCTCGCAATTCAATCGAATTGGCGGAGGCCCAGCCACGACGACAAGGGCTCCTGCTCGATACTTCCCCGCGATTTACCCCGAGAACCCCTGGCCAAGAGGGCACCCGAATTCAGGAACGGCGCTCTCGCTCGAGAATTTCTCGCAATTCAAACAAATTGGTGGATGCCCGGACACGGCGACAAAGGGCTCCGTTCGATATTTCTCCATAGGTATTCCGAGAGCCCCTGGCCAGAGATGCCCCCGAACTCAGGAACGGTGGTCTCGCTCGAGACGTCCTCGAACTTCAGTCAGTGGCTGACAAAGAAAGGATTGGGGGCGCAATCGAAGACGAAATGGGCGGGTATCGAATGCAAGACACGCGTGCCAATAAGGGCGAACAAATCTCAAAATTTTTGAATGCTAGTTACTCAACAATTATTATTGCTGGACCCCCCAGGCGCTTTGTTGCTCTCGCATCGGCGCCGGCTGCATTTTCATTGAAAATTAGGCTCACGCTCGAACGGTTTGGGGGGCGCCAAAACCGGCCCCCCAACAACAGCAACGCTCCCGCTCAAGACTTCCTCCTTTTTTGCTCAGGGCCGGTGCTCTTGTTTGCCGCCGAAAGCCGCCGTCGCAACAAAACCAGCGATACCGCTCGAAACATCCTCCCGTTTTACCTTGGATTGGCGCGCGACTCTTTCTCTCATCGGCACCGCCCCCACCAACAACAACAACGCTCCCGCTCGAGACTTCTGCCCTGACTCACTCAAGGCGGTGCTCCTCCTCGCCGCCGAAAACCGCTGTCCCGACAAAACCAACGTTCCCGCCCGAGACTTCCTCCCGTTTTACGCTGGATGTTCTCTTTTAACTTGGCGCCGCTCCCAACAAGAGCAGCGCTCCCGCTTGAGGCTTCCTCCCTTTTTCCTCAGGACGGTGCTGTCCCTCGCCGCCGACAGCCCCCGTCCCGACAAAACCACGGCTCCCGCTCGAGACCTCCTCCCTTCTTACTCAAGGCGGTGTTCCTCCTCGCCGCCGACAAGCGCCGTCCCAACAAAACCAGCGTTCCCGCTCGAGACTTCGTTTTGTATTACGCTGGACTACCGCCCTACTCTCTTCAGCATTGGCGCCGCTCCCAACAACAACAACAACAGCGGCCCTGCTCGAGATTTCCTCCGTTTCTATTCAGGGCCAGGTCCTTGCTTCGCCGCCGACAGCACCCATCCCCACCAAAGCAATTTTGTCGCTCGGTACTTCCTTGTGTGTTACATTTGGCTGGGGCTCCACTGGCGTCTCGCATCGGCGCAGCAAGGCGCGGGCATGCTTTTTCGAGGCGGGAGATGTTAAAATTCCTCGGAGGAGGTGTTTGCAAGACCTCATTGGGCGGGAGATCTGGGAATGGGGATAACGGGCCCCGCTATACAAGAAATAATTCCCCATGATAGGGGATGGTTATCATGATGGTCGCATGCCTCGTATGGAAAAATCGCGCATGAGGGTGATATGATTGTTGTTGCTGTTGTTGAACTCTCATTAATGAAAATAATGATTGTTGATCCCCCCCACCGGTGCACACTCTCTTTTCTCCATCGAAGTGCGCCCCCCGACGGTCGCACTTTTTTTTTGGGCAGGGAAAATCTTGATGCTCAAACTGTGCCCCTGGCCCCCGGATTACGACAACAACAACAAAGGCTCCCGCGTGAGATTTCCTTACAATTTAGCCAGGACCCCCGCTCCCGCCCGAGACTTCCTCGCATTGTATTCAGGAATCGCGCTCTCGCTTGGGACTTCCTTACAATTTATTCCAGGAATCGTTCTCCCGGCGCTCTGGCGTCGCGCTCTCGCTGGAGAGTTGCATGCAATTTACTGAAGAATATCGCTTTTGCGTTGGAATTTGGGGCAATTTGCTCAAGCGCCGCGCTCCCGACACCCAGGCGCCCAGGAGTCGCGCCCGTTGTGGCCCCATGTGCATGCCCTTCGTGGCCCCGCTGTCGCTGTTTGTGGCCCCCTCACTGTCCTACGTGGCCCAGTTGCTACCCTCAGTGGCTCCATCGTTGCCTTCTGTGGCCCCTCATTATCTGCCTTTCGTGGCCCCGCTCGTTCGCGCTCTTCGTGGCCCCATGCGCAATCCCTTCGTGTCCCCGCTGTCGACCTTCGTGGCCTACTTCGTGTCCTTCGTGGACCTGCTGTCGTTCTCTCTCGCTCTCGCTTTCGCTCGTTTGTCGCCATCGTCGTCGTCGTCGTCGCCGGCGTCGTCGTCGTCGTCGTCGTCGTCGTCGTCGTGGTGGGTCCCCAATCCGTCCCTCTTGAGGTCGGGTCGACGGTCCGCGGCCGCCCCGCCGATCAGCGCTGCCGCTGGCCAGGCCGACGGTCCGCGGCCGCCCCGCCGCTTGCCCGGGCCCAGCCTGCAGGGAAGGAAGGTCTACCCCCCAAAAGGGGCCCGATCGAAGACGAAGAGGGCGGGTATCGAGGGTTTGGGAAATACGCGTTATTGGGCACTCGAGCAGATAAGGGCGAACAGTCTTAAAATGTATGTTGTTGTTGCTGCTGCTGTTGTTGCTGTTATTGTTTATGTTGTTGTTGTTAAACATTATTTATTCTAAAGAATAATTATTGTTGGGCCCCCTGGTGCGCGCCCCCCCTGCGCCGCCTAGGCCGCAGCTACATTTTCATCATTTTCGTGAGGAAGCCTCAGAAAAGAGGGTGTGTACAGGATCCGGTTGTTTTGTTGTAATCCGCTTTCCCTTGCAAAAAACAATAGAAAATGACATTTCTTGTTCTAATATAATCAAATTTCAAGAATCCCTTGCAAAAAATAAGGTAAAGTGGACATTCGCGCGCGCAAGACGAAATCCTTCCAAAACCTTAGTGTTCGCAGCGATTTTAACATAAAAACATCAAAAAACCAATGGTTTTTCAAAAAAAAAATGTCAAAATTCATCCCGCGCGCTCTTGCGGATTCGTAGGAAACCCAACACTTTTTAAACATTTCTGTCAAACGGGCTTTTGCGAGCAACTTTTTCGAACTTCTGCGACAACGGTTGCGCACCTGCCAGGGCCATCATCCCTGTCAAATAATACCATGCGGGACACATTCGTTTTTTCTTCGCGCGCGCACGCCGTCGTCGTCGGCCGCGGGGCCCTGAATAGTAGCCACGGTCGTCCGCATGCCACGAAGTGAAGTGTCCGAACGTCATAGGGCGGGAAGCTGGGTGTGGGTGGTGGCGAAGAGTCGTTTGGAAATTTGGTAGAGCTTGAACCGGCCCCCCCACAAAGTGGGGGCATTGCCCGCCTCCTATGAAAACCCTGGCACTGGTGAGAACGGAGTGTCCCCAGTCTTATGTAAATGATTGTTGTTGTTGTTGTTGCTGTTGTTGATTTTGTGTGTTTGTTTGTTTGTGTTTGTTTGTTGCTGTTTGGCATCGTCCCGCCTGCGACCCACCCGCGGCCCGCCCGCGACCCACTCCCCACCCGCGACCCACCCAACGACCCACCCCGCGATCCACCCCGCGACCCACCCCGCGACCCATTCCGCGACCCACCCTGCGACCCCCCCCGCGACCCACCCCGCGACCCACCCGCGTCCCACTCCGCGACCCACCCCGCGACCCACCCCCGACTCACCCGCGACCCATTCCGCGACCCAAACCCGACCCACCCCGCGACCCACCCCTCGACTCGCCCCGCGACGCGCCCGCGACCCACCCGTGACCCGCCCGCGACCCACTCCGCGACCCGCGACCCACCCCCGACCCACCAATGACCCACCCGCGACCCACCTGCGACCCACCCGCAGCCCACCCGCGACCCCCCCCCGCGACACATCCACATTGCTTTAACATCCCCCTCCCGGCGCCTGCGGCGGGCCCGTTGTATAGCTTGTAAAAAAATTAGGCGCCTCCGGCGGGCTTCTTCAGAGCCTCGCAGACTGCCGACGTCCCCGCCACCCCCTCCCTCTTATCCGTGACTGCGGGGTGCTACGTATTTCCAAGGGCCGCCACCCCTGTCCTCAAGGGGCTTCTGATGCGGTCCTGGCAGCACTGTAAGGAGGCAGTTTCCCTGGTGGAGCGGAGCACGAGGAGCACAGCGACGAACCCTGGCGAATCCTCATCTGAATCCTGCTCCTCCTCCCTCCTCCTGCTGCTCCTCCCCACTCCCCCTCCTCCTTCTCGTTCCTCCTTCCTCTTCTCCTCTTTGCCCCCCCTCCTCTTCCTCCTCCTCCTCCTCCTACTCCTCCTCCTCCTCCTCCTCCTCCTCCTCCTCGAAAGCGGAGGTCTCCCGCGCCCTAGGCCTTGGCCACCTCCACGTGGCTGGATCCATACTGCCGCTGCTTGATCTGCACCGCACGGCACAGGAGGTCCCGCTTCCTCTGGAAACGCGGCTGTCGGGGTGCGGACTCCCCGAAGGGGAGGAGGAACCATGAACTGTCGGAGGAGGAGGAGGACAATGCATGGGATGAGAAAAAAAAATAAGAATAGGGTCACGGAAGGGGGAGGGGGAGGTGAATCGGGAACAGGAGGAGGAAGTCGGACGATCATGCCCGGGATCTCTGGCCCGGAGGCCTCCAGGAGACTCTCTGCGGGCCGCGGGGGGAGGCCTCGAGGGGAAGCAGAGGCGGGGGGGGGCAGCAGGGTGAGGATCGGCTGGAGGAGGAGGGGTAGTAGGAGGCGCCAGGAGGGGGGGGGAAGATGATCAGCAGGAGGGACACGGGGGAAAAGGGCATGCGGAGCAGGAGGCGCAAACCGATGCCGAAGATGGCTGACGATGATGATCAAGACCTGGGTCAGCCATACGGTCTGACAAGCTTGCACCTCGCCGCGGCAGAGTGGGGCCGATGCTGATTATGGTGATGACGTGGATGATGGCATGGATGATGTTGTTGCTTATGACGACGATGATAAATGTCGATGAGGATGGTGATGACGATGATGACGACGATGATGATGAGGATGATGACGATTCGGATGCAGACGACGACGGCGACCACGACGACGACGATGACGACGAGGATACTGATGATGGATGTGATGCTGCTGCTGCTGCTGAGGGTGAGGAGGAGGAGGAGGAGGAGGAGGATGAGGAGGAGGAGGAGGAGGAGGAGGAGGATGGCGACAGCAGGAGAAGGCGCAACAGGAGAGGAGGAAAGGCTGGAGGAGGTGGGGCAAGAGCGTCCTCAGGGCTCCGCTCCCTGTGCCATGCCGTCATCCCCATCCTCATCGTCGCCCTCTCCGCCGTCTCCTCACCATCACCACCGCCATCCTCACAATCACCAGGATAGCCGTCAGAATCGTCCACCTGCTCGTGCTGAACATCCTGGTGCTGCTGCTGCTCCTCCTCACCGTTGCTGCATCTGTTCCCTTCGCCTACCCTGTTCTCGTCCCTCACTCCCTCCAATCTCTCTGTCATCATCCTTCCTCTCTTCCTCGTCCCTCTCGTCGCCCTCGTCCTCTTACTGACGTTCGTCGCGGTCGTGTTCCATCATATCCTCCTCTTCCTCCTGTTCGTGCCCTTACCGCTCCTGCCGTTGCTTCTCTCTTCTCCAGGTGGTTCTCCTCAAAATGCATGTTGTTCCTCCTCCTCCTCCTCCTCCTCCACCTCCGCCACCTTCTCCTCCCTCCCCCGCTCTCCCCCCTCCTCCTCGCGTTCGCGCCAGCTCGCTGCACGCGGCGAATAACATACTCGCGGAAGAAAGGACAACGACTTAGCTGGGTGCGGCGACGAGGTGCTCTGCCTCTACAAGCAGGCCGCAATAGGACGCACGAGTCACACATCGAAACATCATGACTCGGAAAGACACGTTCAAACTACCCTTTAACTTCACATAGACCACGAAACAAAATAACATGTTTCGTATAGGCCCACTTGGTAGGAAGGCCCAACCGCTAATCGTGACCTTGGCCCTTTGCCGCATATCGACGTCACTCGGTTTGCTGCGCCTGTCACAGGCCACAATTTGACAGCCGCGCCGCTTCACGAATCGTTTCCTGATCCGTTGTCCACGGCGGGCCTGTGCCACTGAGTGCATTGCCAGTAGTAGCCAGCGCGCTCACAACTCAACATCCACCCCGACGAGGTCTCCGACTCGGGGTGCCCTCGCAACACTGGCTACCTCCGACGGGGATTGCACCGCTGGGCGCACAAGTCGCTGGAACGAAACGCCATGGTGCTGCGCGTGAAGGCGAAAACAATCCCGCAGTTACCGCCGCCCTCTTCCGATCGTTCTCCTCCTCGCACGCGGCCGCGGCGGACAGGCGAGAACCAGTACTGTTAGGTCGGGTATGTCCCCTCTACAGGCGGGTTTTGGAGACAAATGAAAAATAGTCAACACAAACGCGCCAAAATGGTAAACAAATGCTAACAAATCGTCCCCAGACTATCTTTGGACTATTTTTGAATATTCCTCCTGCAGAGGGACACGCCCGACTCAACCGTACTGCCGACGCGTAGTGGAGACCTCCTGTTTGGCTCGCCCTTGCGTCACCGAGGCGCTGCTGAGGCTGATGGTAAAGCAGCACGGTGCCACTGCGCGCAGACAGAGTTGGATGCTCATTCTGGGGACCTTCCTGGAGACACTCGCTCCATTCGTGCGTCGAAGCTGCGTTGAAGGTCCGTCGATGTGAGAGAGAAAGAGAGAGAGAGAGAGAGAGAGATGGATGAGGGTGATGGCGAAGGCCAAGGCGAGAGACAAGGTAATTCCGACCCAGCTCCTCCTCAAAAACGACGCCAAGGTCAGGACAAACTCGGACCGGGATTGACTGGGAGTCTCTGAGGTGCGCCCGTCCTGGAGGATGTGTCGGGCGCCGCGGCCGTTCCAAAGCGCCCAAGATCGCTCGGAGAGCGTTCCGGAACGCTCTGGAACGATTCATCCCAGTCCATGCCGACCAAATCGTCCTCCTCCCCTGACGTCCGCCGACACGTCCTTCTCAATCCGCGGCCCCGGAGGTCCCGACCGCTTCCCCGGCTGTCCTTTCTTCGTCCCGGATCCGTTCTTGCTGGCCTCGGGGCCCGGCAACTGGCCCCGGAGGCCGAGGTCGAAGAACAGCGCGGGGGTTGAGCAAACCATAGCGTCGTTGCTCTGGGTCTCCCCCCCCCCTCCCCCGTCGGGGGCCACGTCCTCTCGTTGTCGCCCATGCAGCCGTACACGTTGCCCAAGTTGAGCAGCGTGGTGGCCACCGCGCGGTGGTCTCAGGGACGCGCGGGGCGCGCCCGAGGGCCCGGAGCGCGGGATCCAAGGAGGGGGAACGGGTTTGGGGCCCGCTGGCCAGGACTGAGCGACGCTGCGGCACCACGGGGTCACCTTGGAGGCCTTTGGGGCAATCCTGGGGCGGTCTTGGGGACCTGTTGGGCCGTCTTGGGCCGTCGGAAGGCCGAGAAGAAACAAATTGCAAAATCCCGCTAACACGTACGGGAAATCAATTAGTTCGGCCTCTACGGGCCCTCCTGGAGGACCTCTCGGAGGCCTCTTGGGCCGTCTTGGAGACCTCTTGGGGGCCCCTGGGGCCGGCTTGGGCCGTCTTGGAGGCTTCTTGGGCGAACTTGGACGCATCTTGAACTCTCCTGGGCCGTCTTGGAGGCCATCTTGGACCATCTTGGGCGAGCTTGGGCCCATATAGCCATCTGGAGAAGGAAACCCTTTGCAGCCACCTCGAACGCAGCCTTCTGGGTTTCCAGCGGCATCGGCCCAAGCCCCAGGAGAATCCTAAACGAACCAAACGTTTCAAAACATCCAACACGCTGGGCACCCCAGTGGCAAGCCAGCAGGGGTAATGGATCTGTGGCCTTCGGCCCATACCGCCACCATGCCAGAGTGTTGGGTCGAAGGCTCCTTGGATACCTGTCATGCGAGGTATCTTGGCATGCATCTCGGGCGCCTCGTGGAACGAATTTTGAAGTTTCTCGAGGCCTCTTGGGGGCCGTTTGGGGACCTCTTGGGGCGGGGCCCTGGGGGGCCTCTTGGGGGCCTGCTGTCGTTCTCGGGGGTCCACTTGGGGCGGAGGGCTCGGAATGTGAGTCAGGGTCCCTCCATTGGTCTCTCTTAGGGCCCTCTTGGGCCGTCTTTGGAGCCTCTTGGGCCGTCTTGGGACTCTCTGGGGCTGTCGTGGGTCTCTCTTACGACATCTTGGGCCATCCTGGGGCGAAAATGGGGGCCTCTGGGCCCAACGTGGAAGCCGTGAAGATTCAAATCGCGAATGTGCTGAAAATATAAGTTATCCTCAAGGAGTGCGGCAAGTATGGGCTATCCGAAGGCGCTTTTGGGCAGCATCTTGCAGCCTTCTTGGGGCGTCCCAGGGGCCAGGCCGAGGAGACCGCCCCCGGCTCCTCCCCAACCGAACGCGACCACCCAAACCGACCTTGACCCCCCCCCCTGGCCGTGCCGCGCGCAAGTCGTCACCGCTGGGGGGTCGGGGTCGGCCTTGTGGGGGGCGGCAGGGGCGATTCCCTCAGCCCAGCGGTTGTGGTGGTCTCTCCTTCGTCCGCGATCTCCAGATCATTGGGACCCTTGGGTTCAGGCAGGAGGCAATAAGCGATGAGGGCGATGCCCACCAGCAGTTGTCCCCAAGCCCCGAACGATCGCCGTCGGGCAAGAACTCCTCGGGCACGAACGGACGCCCACGGAAGCACCAAGAAGGAGTCCTGCAGACTGGCACGAGGGAACGGAACTGTTGGAAACGGGAGGTTCTGGACCCCCGAGCATCCCCCCAAGGTCCAACCCTTCACCTTGGACAATTTTCTGCCCACCCCAGGGCGACGGGCCATGGAGACCAGAGAGCGGCAAGAACCTGCCGGCAGGACCCCCTTCCTTCAGCACACCTTCCAGGGCGGGTACAGACCCAGACCCCCAGCGTCATGCTTGCTTCGCAACGTCGACCCCCGGAGGTCTCGACCCATTCCCAGGATCAGGTCCCCAAAGGCCGAACCTTGTAAACAAAAGCGTCCGCCGTGTTTTTCGACGACGCGAGGGGGTCTGGGGACCGCACAGCGCAGAAGAGCCTGCCGCCACGATCCCTCCCGCGATGGGGCGGGCGGAGAGTTGCTCTTAACGGTGAACTGAATGAAACCACGCAGTGTTTTCTACGCAGTGTTTTTTTATGCAGTGTTTTCTACGCAGTGTGTTATACGCAATGTGTTCTAAGATGTGTCTTCTGCGCGGTGTTTTCGCCGTTGTGTTTTCTGCGTTGTGCGTGTGTGTGTGTGTTAACGCTATGTATGCTGTTTTAGCCGGCTTGGTTTTACGATGTCATGCGACACTTCGGGTATGCTGTTGTATATGTGGTGTTCGCTTGACGTACTTTTTCTTCGCAAGGTTATCTTGTGAAGGCGGTCGCACGGCTGTTTGCCGGAGAGATCTCAACTCCATGATGAATGGCGTCTGCCAAATGACCACGCAGTAACTCGCAGGTATCTTCAGGATGCTTCGACGCGCATTCCAGACTCCTTTTGCAGACCCTTGCTTTTTGAAGCTGAGAGCCCTCGGGCAAACAGTGGGGCAAAGCAACGAACCAGACACTTGCTGCAGACAAGAGCGCGCCTCCAAAAAGGAGAATTTACAAGCGCATGCCGAAAAAACTGTCTGCCCGCACTTCTGGCTCTTCTTCGCGAACCAGTGTTTCTGTTTTTGGCAGGCGCCTTTACATTATCGCTCTTGGAGGTGTATTCTTGTGGTAGCTGTGGTGGGAGGTGTTGACAAAACCCAAACTCAACGTGTTCTAGGCAATGTCTTCTACGCAAGGATTTCTACGCAATGTTTTCTACGCAATGTTTTTAACGTTCTACCGTCTTTTTTCTGTGCAGGTACCTTTTTGTTTAAATTATCGCTCCTGGACGCGCGCCCTTTATAACAGAGTGTGCTAAGTGGTGTTGGCAAAGCCCAAGCGCAGAGCTACGCTGTTTTCTACGCAGCGTTTTCTACGCAGTGGTGTCTACGTTGCGGCTTCATGCGCTGCGTGTTGTACTATATGTTTGTTGTTGGTCGGCTTGATGTTGCGATGTCATGCGGCACTTTGTGGATTTTGTACGTTGTGTTCGTTGACGTGGTGCTTGCTCGCAATGCTATATTGTGATACCGGTCGCACCGCCGTTTGCCAGAGAACTCTCAGCTCCATGATTAAAGGCATTTGCCAAAAGACCACGAAGTACCCCGCAGATACCTTCGGGATACTTTGACGCGTATTCCAGATCCCTTCGCGCAAACTTGTGTTCCTTTTGCAGACGCCTTTTCTTGTGAAGTTGCGAGCCGTCGGGCAAACAGCTGGGCAACGCATCGAACCAGACATTGCGCCTCAAAACAAGACAATCTACAGGCGCATACCGAACTAACAGCTGTCTGCGCGCAAGAATAACTCTTTTTCGTGACCCGCATTTCGTTTTAGGCAGGCGCATTTACATTATCGTTCCTGGAGGCGTACTCTTGTGGTAAAGTGTGATGGGAGGTGTTGACAAAGCCCAAACGCAACGTTTCTGTACAGTGTTTCACTACGTTGTGTTTTCCACGCAATGTCTTCTACGCAGTGTTTTCCACGTCGTGCTGTTTTGTTTTTCGGGGTCAGGCGCCTTCGTGAAATTATGGCTCTCAGAGGCGCGTCCTACTGGTAGAGTGTGGTGGGAGTTATTGGCAAAGACCTAGCGCAATGTTTTCTACGCAATGCTTTCTACGCAATTTGATCGACACACTGTTTTCTACGCGGAGTGGTCTACGCAATGTTGTTTACGCTGTGCGTTCTACGCTGTTTTTTTGCCGGCTTGGTTTGACGATCGCATGGTGTACTTTGTTGATAAGTGTGTTGTTGCGCTATGTGTGTTTACGCTGTGTTGTCTCATGTAGTGGTTTAAACTGTTTTTGCCGCGGTGCGTTTTACGTGGTATTGCTATCCGGCGTTGTTTACGGTGTGCTGCTCTATGTTTAGATTGGTGCTCACCAGCTTTTGATGTTGAAGCGTGTTTGCATACATTGTTTGTCGTGGTGCTGTAGTACGCTGTGTGTTTGTTTATGCTGTTTACACTAAATCAGCGCTGTGTTGCTATTCGGAAGTGCTTTACGATGCCACGTAGTTTCTCCCCACCTTCCTGCGTTGGGTTCTCGTTCTAAATAGAGCGCCGCAGTCGCGTCCTGTCCTCGTCCTTCCTGTCTCCACCTGCCTCCTTCTGCGCGGCTCTTTGGGAGCCTGCGACATGTGCAAATGTCACCATGTTCGTTGGCTCCTGGGAGGCCCGGCGGAGTCGGGAAGTAACAGGTTCCATTTGAAACCTCGCAGCTCCCAGGGTGGCTGCGAACTGCGCAACTGTCGCCTCTTTCGTCGGCTCCTGGGAGGCACGGCGGAATCGGGGAGTAGACGTACCCATTTGAGACCTCGCAGCTTCCTGGGTGGCTGCGACCTGTGCAAATGTCGCCACTTTCGTGTGCTCCTGGGAGGCCCGCCAGAGTCGGGAAGTAAACGTATCCACTTGATCGCAGCTGCCTGGGTGGCTGCGAGCTGTCGCCACTTTCGTGGTCTCCTGGGGGGTCTGGCAGACTTGGGGAGTAAACGTCAGAGTGAGGGGGCCGAACGGTCATTCACTGTCCCTGGGTGCGTGGCTGAAGTGGAATTCCGCGGTGCGGATTCTCGTTGTTGTTGTTGTTGTTGTTGTTGTTGTTGTTGTTGTTGAACATTATTACTTCTAAAGAATAATTATTGTTGGGCCCCTGGTGCACGACCCCCCCGCCGCGCCTAGGCCGCAGCCACATTTTCATCATTTTCGTGAGGAAGTCTCAGGCAAAACGGGTTGGTCCGGATCCGGTTGTGTTGTTACGATCGGTTTTCCCTTGCAAAAAATAAGCTAAAGTGGACATTTCTTGTTCTAACATAACCAAACTTCAAGAATCCCTTGCAAAAAATAAGGTAAAGTGGACATTCGCGCGCGCAAGACGAAATCCTTCCAAAACCTTAGTTTTCGTAGCGATTTTAACATAAAAACATCAAAAAACCAATGGTTTTTCAAAAAAATGTCAAAATTTCATCCCGCGCGCTCTTGCGGATTCGTAGGAAACCCAACACTTTTTAAACATTTCTGTCAAACGGGCTTTTGCGAGCAACTTTTTCGAACTTCTGCAACAACGGTTGCGCACCTGCCAGGGCCATCATCCCTGTCAAATAATACCATGCGGGACACATTCGTTTTTTCTTCGCGCGCGCACGCCGTCGTCGTC